TTCTCCGCCAAATGCTACTATTACCCTCATGAATCATCACCAAACACAGCTGCATAGCTCGAAGAAAATAATAGCCATCAAAAACCGCAAACACATTCCACCCTCGCTTCTCAACCACAATGACCCTCCATCCCTCTACCGCCGAGGGGAAGCTCCCCTCACCCCTTCCCCACCCCATCAACATATCCGGCTATGTTGGGACCCCTCACACCTCCACCCACCCTCTACATAGAATTACTTAGACTCATCTATTAATAAACTAATATCTACACACACAGGATTAACTCTACGGCAAACACCCTACATATTCATCTACTCTTATCCTCATATTCTACTCTTCTCCTCATATTCCATACTCTACCACATACCCTACATACTCTCACACCCCACACAACATGACCCTCCATGATCCCAGACTGCATAACCAAACACCGGCCGCTCACACGCGTCCAGCGCGTGTCAAACACCCGCGAAAAAAGCACCCCACATACCGGAAGGCCTACATACCTCAACCAGCTGTCCACCTGAGCCTATCAGGCCTACCTAGACAGCTGGTGTGCACGGTCGTAGGCGTACATTTCACTACTAACATATATTATTAAAAATGACCGAAAAAGTATGATAAATAATTCTACCTCGAATTTTCTCAATATTTCTTATGTTTCTTTTCACTGTCGATGGTAACTGAAAATTCAATTCTCCAAAATTAATTTTTATTTCTAGTCTGACGCGACACTTGAACGCGTTTCGTAATAACTTATTACATTTTCAAAGACTTTAGTTTACACACACACAACTATTACCTGCAAACACTAAACAGAGTTCTATTATGCTATCATTTAAACAGCTTTCATCTTATATACCCGCATTTGGATGAGGTTATATGTTACAACAGTTTTTGATGAGGTGAACAAAACTTTCAACACAAGATAGAGCAAACGTTCAACACATGATAGAGCAAACTTTCAACACAAGACAGAACATGGGGCAATGGGTGTAAATTGGGTAAATTATAAGGAAGAATGGAAGTAACTGGAAAGGGCCTATTGGCCCACATTTCTTGATGCTTCTATATTGGTGCGAAGTCTTGAAGTGTGTAGAATATAGTTGTGCATTAATTGGCTGTTGATTGCTGGTGTTGACTTCTTGATGTGTAGTGCCTCGCAGATGTCAAGCCGCCTGCTATCGCTGTATCTATCGATGATTTCTGTGTTGTTTGTTAAGACTTCTCTGGTGATGGTCTGGTTGTGGGAAGAGATTATATGTTCGTTAATGGAGCCCTGTTGCTTATGCATCGTTAATCGCCTGGAAAGAGATGTTGTTGTCTTGCCTATATACTGAGTTCTTTGAGGCTTACAGTCCCCAAGTGGGCATTTGAAGGCATAGACGACGTTGGTCTCTTTTAAAGCGTTCTGCTTTGTGTCTGGAGAGTTTCTCATGAGTTGGTTGGCCGTTTTTTTGGTTTTATAGTAAATCGTCAATTGTATCTTCTGATTTTTGTCTGTAGGAATAACGTTCCTATTAACAATATCTTTCAGGACCCGTTCCTCTGTTTTATGAGCTGTGGAAAAGAAGTTCCTGTAAAATAGTCTAATAGAGGGTACAGGTGTTGTGTTAGTTGTCCCTTCAGAGATTGCATGGCGTTTCACTTTCCTTCTTATGATGTCTTCAACGAAACCATTGGAGAAACCGTTGTTGACTAGGATCTGCCTTACCCTACAAACTTCTTCATCGACTTGCTTCCATCCTGAGGTGTGGCTGAGAGCACAGTCGATATAAGCGTTAACAACACTCCTCTGGTACCTGTCTGGGCAGTCACTGTTGGCATTGAGGCACATTCCTATGTTTGTTTCCTTAATGTAGACTGCAGTGTGAAAACCTCCGCTCCTTTCCATGACTGTTACATCTAGAAAGGGCAGCTTCCCATCCTTCTCCATCTCGTAAGTGAAACGCAACACAGAATTCCGCTCAAATGCTTCCTTCAGCTCCTGCAGATGTCTGACATCAGGTTCCTGTGTAAAAATGTCGTCAAGATACCTGCAGTATATGGCCGGTTTCAAGTTCATGTCGACTAAGACCTTCTGTTCGATGGTACCCATGTAGAAGTTCGAAAACAGGACAGTTAGGGGAGAACCCAAGGCGACCCCATCTACTTGCTTATACATGTGCCCATCCAGGCTCAAGAAGGGTGCGTCTTCAGTACAAGCTTGGAGTAGTTTCCTTAGAAAGTTTTCTGGTATGTCAAGAGGAGTACAGTCCGGAATACGATACACTCTGTCTGCTATCATCCCGATTGTTTCATCCACAGGTACGTTGGTAAACAGTGATTCTACGTCCAACGAGGCTCTTATCCCTGCGGCCCGTGTTCCCCACACTAAGTCAACAAATTCCTTTGGAGACTTCAGGCTGAAGGCGCAAGGGACATAAGGGGGTCAGCAAGCCGTTGAGTCGCTTTGCCAGTCTGTACATGGGTGTGGGTATCTGGCTGATGATTGGCCGAAGTGGGTTTCCAGGCTTGTGTGTCTTGACATTTCCATACGCATACCCAGATTTGTGTTTCCCAATAATCTTTTGCAGGTGGAGAACGCCAAGAAATCCGATCTTCACCTGTATCCATTAGTCTCTCATAATCTTATGTTGACGTCTAGGTGAAACAGTCTAAACATCAGTTTATAGTTGGAACATCAAAACAATTGATAATTAAGAAGACTTGTAAGTTTGTTAGTGATAGGAGGAATCACTTTGTCAGTCTAGTGATTTGCAACTCGAAGCCAAACAGTGCCCCTTAGGCATTATATTAATTATTCCAACCAAATCATTTTTTTTTCAAAATTCAGGCTTTCCTCTCCTCTTTCCTCTCTCTCTCATGGAAAAAAAATATACTGAAAGTCTGGCTCGACCGTCTAATAAGAGAGGAAGCGCTGAGCTTCCGTTTCAGGAGCAAAATCTGTGCTGGAAATATGAGTCGCTTTTACCAGAACATTTGCGATGCAATGAAGGCAAAACTCACTAATATTGAGGACAACTGAATACGACAAAATATATATATCTCATTAAATCACAAAAAATAGATATTAAAATTTGACTTTTTGTTTATTATAGATAAATCTGTGTATAATTAAATAATATATGACAAGAAGCTGCTTGATTTTTGCTATACTTTCTTCTGCACATTAATAGTTCCTACCTTACAATTTGATCAAAAGGCATATCGCTGCAATCATTCTGGGAGGCACCGCCATCATTCAGGGAAGCGCTGCAATCATTCAGGGAGGCGCTGCAATCATTCAGGGAGGCGCTGCAATCATTCAGAGAGGCGCTGCAATCATTCAAGGAAGTGCTACAATCATTCAAGTAGGCGCTGCAATCATTCAAGTAGGCGCTGCAATCATTCAGGGAGGCGCTGCAATCATTCAGGGAGGCGCTGCAATCATTCAGGGAAGCGCTACAATCATTCAGGGAAGCGCTACAATCATTCAGGGAGGCGCTGCAATCATTCAGGGAAGCGCTACAATGATTCAAGGAGGCGCTGCAATCATTCAGGGAGGCACTGCAATCATTCAGGGAGGCGCTGCAATCATTCAGGGAAGCGCTGCAATCATTCAGGGAGGCGCTGCAATCATTCAGGGAGGCGCTGCAATCATTCAAGGAAGTGCTACAATCATTCAAGTAGGCGCTGCAATCATTCAAGTAGGCGCTGCAATCATTCAGGGAGGCGCTGCAATCATTCAGGGAGGCGCTGCAATCATTCAGGGAGGCGCTGCAATCATTCAGGGACGCGCTGCAATTATTCAGGGAAGCGCTGCAATCATTCAGGGAGGCGCTGCAATCATTCAGGTAGGCGCTGCAATCATTCAGGGAAGCGCTGCAATCATTCAGGGAGGCGCTGCAATCATTCAGGGAGGCACTGCAATCATTCAGGGACGCGCTGCAATCATTCAGGGAAGCGCTGCAATCATTCAGGGAGGCACTGCAATCATTCAGGGAGGCGCTGCAATCATTCAGGGAGGCGCTGCAATCATTCAGGGACGCGCTGCAATCATTCAGGGAAGCGCTGCAATCATTCAGGGAGGCACTGCAATCATTCAGGGAGGCGCTGCAATCATTCAGGGAGGCGCTGCAATCATTCAGGGAAGCGCTGCAATCATTCAGGGAGGCGCTGCAATCATTCAGGGAGGCACTGCAATCATTCAAGGAAGTGCTACAATCATTCAAGTAGGCGCTGCAATCATTCAGGGAGGCGCTGCAATCATTCAGGGAGGCGCTACAATTATTCAGGGAGTCACTGCAATCATTCAGGGAAGCGCTGCAATCAGTCAGGGAAGCGCTGCAATCATTCAGGGAAGCGCTGCAATCATTCAGGGAGGCGCTACAATCATTCAGGGAAGCGCTGCAATCATTCAGGGAGGCGCTGCAATCATTCAGGGAAGCGCTGCAATCATTCAGGGAGGCGCTGCAATCATTCAGGGAGGCGCTGCAATCATTCAGGGAGGCGCTGCAATCATTCAGGGAGGCGCTGCAATCATTCAGGGAAGCGCTACAATCATTCAGGGAGGCGCTGCAATCATTCAGGGAAGCGCTGCAATCATTCAGGGAGGCGCTGCAATCATTCAGGGAAGCGCTGCAATCATTCAGGGAGGCGCTGCAATCATTCAGGGAAGCGCTACAATCATTCAGGGAGGCACTGTAATCATTCAGGGAAGTGCTACAATCATTCAGGGAGTCACTGCAATCATTCAGGGAGGCGCTGCAATCATTCAGGGAGGCACTGCAATCATTCAGGGAGGCACTGCAATCATTCAGGTAGGCTCTGTAATCATTCAGGGAAGCGCTACAATCATTCAGGGAGGCGCTGCAATCATTCAGGGAAGCGCTACAATCATTCAGGGAGGCGCTGCAATCATTCAGGGAGGCGCTGCAATCATTCAGGGAAGTGCTACAATCATTCAGGTAGGCTCTGTAATCATTCAGGGAAGCGCTACAATCATTCAGGGAGGCACTGCAATCATTCAGTGAGGCGCTGCGATCATTCAGGGAGGCACTGCCATCATTCAGGGAGGCGCTGCCTTCATTCAGGGAGGCACTGCCATCATTCAGGGAGGCGTTGCCATCATTCAGGGAGGCGTTGCCATCATTCAGGGAGGCGCTGCCTTCATTCAGGGAGGCACTGCCATCATTCACGGAGGCGCTGCCTTCATTCAGGGACGCGCTGCTATCATTCAGGGAGGCGCTGCCATCATTCAGGGAGGCGTTGCCATCATTCAGGGAGGCGCTGCCTTCATTCAGGGAGGCGCTGCCATCATTCACGGAGGCGCTACCTTCATTCAGGGACGCGCTGCTATCATTCAGGAAGGCGCTGCCATCATTCAGGGAGGCGCTGCCATCATTCAGGGAGGCGCTGCCTTCATTCAGGGATGCGCTGCCATCATTCAGGGAGGCGCTGCCATCATTCTGGGAGGCGCTGCCTTCATTCAGGGAGGCGCTGCCTTCATTCAGGGAGGCGCTGCCATCATTCAGGGAGGCGCTGCCATCATTCACGGAGGCGCTGCCTTCATTCAGGGACGCGCTGCTATCATTCAGGGAGGCGCTGCCATCATTCAGGGAGGCGCTGCCATCATTCAGGGAGGCGCTGCCTTCATTCAGGGATGCGCTGCCATCATTCAGGGAGGCGCTGCCTTCATTCTGGGAGGCGCTGCCTTCATTCAGGGAGGCGCTGCCTTCATTCAGGGAGGCGCTGCCATCATTCAGGGAGGCGCTGCCATCATTCAGGGAGGCGCTGCCATCATTCAGGGAGGCGCTGCCTTCATTCAGGGAGGCGCTGCCATCATTCAGGGAGGCGCTGCCATCATTCAGGGAGGCGCTGCCTTCATTCAGGGAGGCGCTGCCATCATTCAGGGAGGCGCTGCCATCATTCAGGGAGGCGCTGCCATCATTCAGGGAGGCGCTGCCATCATTCAGGGAGGCGCTGCCATCATTCAGGGAGGCGCTGCCATCATTCAGGGAGGCGCTGCCTTTATTCAGGGAGGCGCTGCCATCATTCAGGGAGGCGCTGCCATCATTCAGGGAGGCGCTGCTATCATTCAGGGAGGCGCTGCCATCATTCAGGGAGGCGCTGCCATCATTCAGGGAGGCGCTGCCTTCAGTCAGGGATGCGCTGCCATCATTCAGGGAGGCGCTGCCTTCATTCTGGGAGGCGCTGCCTTCATTCAGGGAGGCGCTGCCTTCATTCAGGGAGGCGCTGCCATCAATCAGGGAGGCGCTGCCATCATTCACGGAGGCGCTGCCTTCATTCAGGGACGCGCTGCTATCATTCAGGGAGGCGCTGCCATCATTCAGGGAGGCGCTGCCATCATTCAGGGAGGCGCTGCCTTCATTCAGGGATGCGCTGCCATCATTCAGGGAGGCGCTGCCTTCATTCTGGGAGGCGCTGCCTTCATTCAGGGAGGCGCTGCCTTCATTCAGGGAGGCGCTGCCATCATTCAGGGAGGCGCTGCCATCATTCAGGGAGGCACTGCCATCATTCAGGGAGGCGCTGCCTTCATTCAGGGAGGCGCTGCCATCATTCAGGGAGGCGCTGCCATCATTCAGGGAGGCGCTGCCTTCATTCAGGGAGGCGCTGCCATCATTCAGGGAGGCGCTGCCATCATTCAGGGAGGCGCTGCCTTCATTCAGGGAGGCGCTGCCATCATTCAGGGAGGCGCTGCCATCATTCAGGGAGGCGCTGCCTTCATTCAGGGAGGCGCTGCCATCATTCAGGGAGGCGCTGCCATCATTCAGGGAGGCGCTGCCTTCATTCAGGGAGGCGCTGCCATCATTCAGGGAGGCGCTGCCTTCATTCAGGGATGCGCTGCCATCATTCAGGGAGGCGCTGCCATCATTCAGGGAGGCGCTGCCTTCAATCAGGGAGGCGCTGCCTTCAATCAGGGAGGCGCTGCCTTCAATCAGGGAGGCGCTGCCTTCAATCAGGGAGGCGCTGCCTTCAATCAGGGAGGCGCTGCCTTCAATCAGGGAGGCGCTGCTATCATTCAGGGAGGCGCTGCCTTCAATCAGGGAGGCGCTGCCATCATTCTGGGAGGCGCTGCCATCAATCAGGGAGGCGCTGCCTTCAATCAGGGAGGCGCTGCCTTCAATCAGGGAGGCGCTGCCTTCAATCAGGGAGGCGCTGCCTTCAATGAGGGAGGCAGTACAAAACATGAAGTAGAGAGAGGCCAGCCACAACCTCACCGCCACCTCCCAACACTCACGGGAAACCCTCGACACGAGGACTAAATGTACACTCAAGATGCTGGAAACCATCTTCTTGAGGATATCTTGAAATGATTTCGGGGATTTTTGTCTGAGGCCCTCACAACATTGTCTGAGGCCCTCACACCATTGTCTGAGGCCCTCACACCATTGTCTGAGGCCCTCACAGCATTGTCTGAGGCCCTCACAACATTGTCTGAGGCCCTCACAACATTGTCTGAGGCCCTCACAACATTGTCTGAGGCCCTCACAACATTGTCTGAGGCCCTCACAGCATTGTCTGAGGCCCTCACAGCATTGTCTGAGGCCCTCACAACATTGTCTGAGGCCCTCACAACATTGTCTGAGGCCCTCACAACATTGTCTGAGGCCCTCACAACATTGTCTGAGGCCCTCACAACATTGTCTGAGGCCCTCACAACATTGTCTGAGGCCCTCACAACATTGTCTGAGGCCCTCACAGCATTGTCTGAGGCCCTCACAACATTGTCTGAGGCCCTCACAACATTGTCTGAGGCCCTCACAACATTGTCTGAGGCCCTCACAACATTATCTGAGGCCCTCACAACATTGTCTGAGGCCCTCACAACATTGTCTGAGGCCCTCACAACATTGTCTGAGGCCCTCACAACATTGTCTGAGGCCCTCACAGCATTGTCTGAGGCCCTCACAGCATTGTCTGAGGCCCTCACAGCATTGTCTGAGGCCCTCACAGGCCCTCACAACATTGTCTGAGGCCCTCACAGCATTGTCTGAGGCCCTCACAGCATTGTCTGAGGCCCTCACAGCATTGTCTGAGGCCCTCACAGCATTGTCTGAGGCCCTCACAGCATTGTCTGAGGCCCTCACAGCATTGTCTGAGGCCCTCACAGCATTGTCTGAGGCCCTCACAGCATTGTCTGAGGCCCTCACAGCATTGTCTGAGGCCCTCACAGCATTGTCTGAGGCCCTCACAGCATTGTCTGAGGCCCTCACAGCATTGTCTGAGGCCCTCACAACATTGTCTGAGGCCCTCACAGCATTGTCTGAGGCCCTCACAGCATTGTCTGAGGCCCTCACAGCATTGTCTGAGGCCCTCACAGCATTGTCTGAGGCCCTCACAGCATTGTCTGAGGCCCTCACAGCATTGTCTGAGGCCCTCACAGCATTGTCTGAGGCCCTCACAGCATTGTCTGAGGCCCTCACAGCATTGTCTGAGGCCCTCACAGCATTGTCTGAGGCCCTCACAGCATTGTCTGAGGCCCTCACAACATTGTCTGAGGCCCTCACAGCATTGTCTGAGGCCCTCACAGCATTGTCTGAGGCCCTCACAGCATTGTCTGAGGCCCTCACAGCATTGTCTGAGGCCCTCACAGCATTGTCTGAAGCCCTCACAGCATTGTCTGAGGCCCTCACTGTATTGTCTGAGGCCCTCACAGCATTGTCTGAGGCCCTCACAGCATTGTCTGAGGCCCTCACAGCATTGTCTGAGGTCCTCACAGCATTGTCTGAGGCCCTCACTGTATTGTCTGAGGCCCTCACAGCATTGTCTGAGGCCCTCACAGCAAGGCCCTCACAGCATTGTCTGAGGCCCTCACAGCATTGTCTGAGGCCCTCACAGCATTGTATGAGACCCTCACAGCATTGTCTGAGGCCCTCACAACATTGTCTGAGGCCCTCACAACATTGTCTGAGGCCCTCACAACATTGTCTGAGGCCCTCACAACATTGTCTGAGGCCCTCACAGCATTGTCTGAGGCCCTCACAGCATTGTCTGAGGCCCTCACAGCATTGTCTGAGGCCCTCACAGCATTGTCTGAGGCCCTCACAGCATTGTCTGAGGCCCTCACAGCATTGTCTGAGGCCCTCACAGCATTGTCTGAGGCCCTCACAACATTGTCTGAGACCCTCACAACATTGTCTGAGGCCCTCACAACATTGTCTGAGGCCCTCACAACATTGTCTGAGGCCCTCACAGCATTGTCTGAGGCCCTCACAGCATTGTCTGAGGCCCTCACAACATTGTCTGAGGCCCTCACAGCATTGTCTGAGGCCCTCACAGCATTGTCTGAGGCCCTCACAACATTGTCTGAGGCCCTCACAACATTGTCTGAGGCCCTCACAGCATTGTCTGAGGCCCTCACAACATTGTCTGAGGCCCTCACAGCATTGTCTGAGGCCCTCACAACATTGTCTGAGGCCCTCACAACATTGTCTGAGGCCCTCACAGCATTGTCTGAGGCCCTCACAACATTGTCTGAGGCCCTCACAACATTGTCTGAGGCCCTCACAGAATTGTCTGAGGCCCTCACAGCATTGTCTGAGGCCCTCACAGCATTGTCTGAGGCCCTCACAGCATTGTCTGAGGCCCTCACAGCATTGTCTGAGGCCCTCACAACATTGTCTGAGGCCCTCACAACATTGTCTGAAGCCCTCACAGAATTGTCTGAGGCCCTCACAGCATTGTCTGAGGCCCTCACAGCATTGTCTGAGGCCCTCACAACATTGTCTGAGGCCCTCACAGCATTGTCTGAGGCCCTCACAGCATTGTCTGAGGCCCTCACAACATTGTCTGAGGCCCTCACAACATTGTCTGAAGCCCTCACAGAATTGTCTGAGGCCCTCACAGCATTGTCTGAGGCCCTCACAACATTGTCTGAAGCCCTCACAGCATTGTCTGAGGCCCTCACAGCATTGTCTGAGGCCCTCACAGCATTGTCTGAGGCCCTCACAACATTGTCTGAGGCCCTCACAACATTGTCTGAGGCCCTCACAGCATTGTCTGAGGCCCTCACAGCATTGTCTGAGGCCCTCACGGCATTGTCTGAGGCCCTCACAGCATTGTCTGAGGCCCTCACAACATTGTTTGAGGCCCCCTCACAACATCGTCTGAGGCCCTCACAACATTGTCTGAAGCCCTCACAGCATTGTCTGAGGCCCTCACAGCAATGTCTGAGGCCCTCACAGCATTGTCTGAGGCCCTCACAGCATTGTCTAAGGGCCTCACAGCATTGTCTGAGGCCCTCACAGCATTGTCTGAGGCCCTGAACATTGTCTGAGGGCCTCACAGCATTTTCTGAGGCTCTCACAGCACTGTCTGAGGCCCTCATAGCATTTCCTGAGGCCCTCAAAGCATTTCCTGAGGCCCTCAAAGCATTGTCTGAGGTCCTCACAGCATTGTCTGAGGCCCTCACAGCAATGTCTGAGGCCCTCACAGCATTGTCTGAAGCCCTCACAACATTGTCTGAGGCCCTCACAGTATTGTCTGAGGCCCTCACAGCATTGTCCTGAGGCCCTCACAACACTGAGGTCCTCACAGCATTGTCTGAGGCCCTCACAGCAATGTCTGAGGCCCTCACAGCATTGTCTGAAGCCCTCACAACATTGTCTGAGGCTCTCACAGTATTGTCTGAATCCCTCACAACATTGTTTGAGGCCCTCACAACACTGAGGCCCTAACAACACTGTCAGGAGTGGTTCCAGCAGTGACATAAAGAGATACTGACTCTTCAGTATCTAAATCATCAAGTTTATGCAGAATTCACCCCAGTTTTACACGCAAACATCTGGTCAACTCTCATAAGTGAGTCTTCAGTGAACAGTCCGTCAATATCATATGGTCGTCATGGTTGCAACCTTATCAGGAAAGATGTGGGGATCTTTAGAGTTGAGCAGCGGGATCTAAGAAGTTTCCTGGTTCTCACCAGACGTGTGCCTTAACCCAGCGTCCACGACATGCTCATATTTCGTCTGGGGTGACGTAGGACGCTGTTTTAATCCCGTTGTCCATTACTGTGATTTACCTGTGTGCTACGGAAAACGGTTTGGAGACATTTGATCCATATCTGCAAATCCGTCCCAATTGCAGCCATTATTTACCTACCTGGGAACTCTGACACAACTAATTCAGGCAATTATTTTTTGCTTTAAGTAAACTGTTTTCATATTTTAGGATTATACAGCATAACATTCTGAATATATAAATAATTGAAACGTTAAAAGGAAAATTATATATAATTAAATTAAATTAAATGCATGGTCATTTTTTTTTCACACGCCCAACAAAGCGGTGTAAATGAGTTCTCGATACTGAACATTTCATTATGTTTCACTCGACATGACACAAAGTCGAAAGATTTAGTTAAATGGTCAACGACGATTATTGTTGACCAGTGACGTAGACACGTATCATCACGGGCTGGTAAATTACTCCGAGTAATCAACCGTGGTGTGAGTAGTAATTACTCAGACCTTAGAGTAATCCACCCAGAGGTGTGAGCAGTAACGGGTCTCACAACCCAGCTTGTGTGGTCGACAAACTGTAGCAGCCTTGTCCTAATCATTTACCATGCATCAAATATGTAGATAGTTTTGCCTAACCAGAACCATTTGATTCTAGTCATCCCAACTAATCTTTCGAAGCCCATGCCCATTAGTCCCAGAAAATGTCAATATTTGTGGTGCCTTTCATGTCATTATTGGGACAAAGGGCCAGTTACAGAGACCCACTGCGTCAAGCATCGTGTGAGCGGTGCTACAAGGTCCACACACTCCAAGACGACCAGGACGAGGTAAAAAAGGCCCAATAGTCATTTATATCATGTTCGTGACAGTCGAACTGATATGATACATCAGTCTCACATGATACTGTGAACAACATCTTCCAAAAATACTTTCTTATTGATTTTAAAAAGAGTAATTTACGCCAAAATAAAAGTTTCACACTAATTCCAGAATTAAGCTATGCGACAGGAGCCTCATTTACCCTTGATGAATAAAATTGCCAAGTAAAAATAGTTTAAAACATATATAATTCCGTGTAACAAAATACCACGATAATTCTAGTCAAGACTCGTCGTTTACCTCCACAAATCAAAGGCAACGCGGCAAAGAATTGAGTCCTTTGAGTTTAAAGGTGTCCTTGAGTTACCAGGGAAGGTGTTTGACACACGCAAATAACACCTCATAAA